GTTAGAAGAGTTAAATAGGTATAACTAAAACAGAGATAGAAGAATTAAAAAACAGAATAGTGGCAGATAAAATATTTTAAAAAAACCAGTTGTAGACTAAAGAAAATGTAGACTTTATTTTTGTGCATCTATGAATAATGATGCGAAAAAATATTAGGAAATAACCAAGAAAAATGCTGTGAGTAAAAGAGATCTATTACATTTTAGAAGACTTAGAAAAGAAGTTCTGTGTAAACAAGTCTGAACATTATCTTCATCTGCAGATAGAAAAATGAAAAGCTGAACTGGAGCAACATCTGAAATATCAATTAGCAGCCAGTGTTTTTTATTCTGAGATTTTACTCAGGGTGAAAATTTACACTTAATGCCAAAGAAGATGTAAGAGTAGAATGAGACAAAGTCGCCTCTTGCAAGGACTTGTGGTATAATTTATTCCAAAATATAATCTATAAAACTTAAAGCAATACATTATAGTATAATATTCATACAGTTAAGACTCTGAAGGTGGAAGTTGAGAGAATGGGGAAATTCATGTAAGGGCGAGAGTAATGTAGCTGACTCAAAGAGAAGGCAAGGCGTAGCAAGCAGGCAAAACACAGAACAGTTATCAGTGGTAGAAACCGAGCAGGCAGTGAGAGACTGGTTGGACGAACATAAAAGAGGACTGGGAAGAAGTACCACAGGCTGGAGCCTGGACTTGCAATGCTAGGAAGTGAACAGTCCCTGTTAGGTCCTTCAATAAAACAGTAAGAGGAAAATACGTTGTAGAGAAAAAGAACCCCAAATAGGAAGATAAATTAGGTAAATCGCAGTCATGACTTTTGTGGACTTTTAAAAGTGGACTTTCAAAAAAATGACTGGAACATGAGCTAAAAATAATTTAATTAGAAGACTCAAAATCTTCACAGACAAATGTCATACAGAAGGCCCCAGGTGTTCAGCTTGCCCACTCCCCATGTTGCAATGCTAGCTTTCTTCTCCCTTCCTCCTACTAGAAATTTATTTTGTGCTATCATATTTTCACTGGGTCTACTTTTTACTTTTGTTTATATAACGTCCTATAGAGTTTTTATGCCTCCTTTTGTAGCTTCTAATCTAAAACTGTTTTTGCCTCTCCCCTTTTCTCTTTCTTGCTTGTTCGTCTTTGTTTTTTGTTCCTTTCTCATCACCTCTCCCACATGTGGAACATATACTCCTAGAGACTGGTGGAGCTGCAGAGGACCGCAGAGACTTGCTCATCCAGGCTTCCCATTTTACAGAAGAAAAACCAAGTCCAAAGAAGTAAAATGACTTCTTGGTTTTGAGTTCAATGGGGCTTGCCTCTCACAACCACTATCTCTTTTAAAATAAATTCTCAGAGCTGATAGTGAAAAAATGTAGTATTTTAAAAACTTTAGAAAACATTAATTTAAAAACCACCATTCCCTTGTTTATAAAGATGATAAAATTAAGAGAATTTAAAAATACACAAATAAAAATTATGTGACAATTATAATGCCTTTCCCCTCCCCATTTTCTGTTGTTACAAATTTTAGTGTTCCTTGAAACAGCGTTCTTTGAGAGGCAAGGAAAACTATTTTTGAGGACACTTTTAGCTTTGTTAAAAACTCTGGCATATTCTCTAGTTAAATGCAGCACTGTACTTACCTTATAAATGAACAAATAAGTTACAGAGTCCTGAACTATACCTATAGGAGGATATATACAAAAACAAAACAAAACAAAAAAAACCCCTACCTGAAATCCTTAAACTCATTCTTTTCCCACCTTTGTTTCCTGTCTGTGTCTCTGCTAGTGTTTTCCAAGTACAGGCTGTAACTATAGTGGAAGTGGAAAGCAGGGAATGAGTTAAAACTGCTAAATGCTTTGAGTAACCAGTTTATAGCCGTAATTTTTTAAAACAGCTCTTTTTAATAGTTTCAGATAAGAAATGTTATAAGAGCTTGTGCCTTGTTATAGGCATATCGGGCTTAAATCACAAGTAAGTAAGTACAAGCCCTAGATTTTCTTAAGACAACAATGAGGACTTAGGGGAAACGGTTGATGCCAATCACCATCCTGCTCATCTGTGCGGATGACAAGCTGGAAAAGCCACAGCCAGAGTGGATTTCTCCCTATTCCACTCAGTGGAACTTTATTTACAATTATCTGACATTTCACACCATCATTCTGAAAAACCAAAATCTCAGTAATGACAATGGAAGATGCCATTTCCAGACACGGGAAATAATAGAACAAAAAAAGTTAGTGAAAAGCACCTACATATAATTACACACTAACTGTGCATACACACATTTCTTGATTTAAGTATGTGCTACTTACATGGCATCTTACATGATGAAGGCCCAAGGAATAACCTCAGCCCAATCAAATAACAACAAGAACTTCCCTTTCAAGCTGGCCTTAGAATGCCTAACTTCTTTTCTCTACCATTTCAGACCCTTCCAGCTAGCTGGGTCCTTTAACCAACACAGACGCTATTTTCTACTTTAGTCTAGTACCAGTGCAAGGTAGAAGAGCTCGGGTAGCAGGTTGGGTGGTGAGACAGGGAAAGAAAAGAGTGCCAACATTCTGGGAACACGGCCCTTTACTCTGCTGCTACATACATCCTTTAGCATCCTCAGTCTCTAAACAATCTCCCCCACTCCTTTTGAAGCCCTCTCATTTGCCCTATTCAGAGTCCCTGTCCTAGTTGCTATGTTTAAATAACTAATGAAGTTGTTCTTTGTTAAGGATACCTAAATATAAACCTAGATTTTTTTCTGAAATGTAGATGAACCTCACACTAATTATGCATGCATGTGATGTATGTATCTTTTAAGTTTTTTTTTTTTTTTTTTTAAAGCAAAACCTGCATTACTCACTTAAGACTTCTAGATATTTTGTTTTTCCTGTATCTATTACTTTACCTATTATCTGGGGTCCTCATGGTTGGCATCTGTAAGTTCAAAGGACTGTGGTCTTTCTTCTGAGATAGGGGGAGCACTTTCCCTAAGAGCAGGTGGGTGATGCAAGGAGAGTCCTTTTGGAAGTACTGGGCAAATGGATCTGCTACTCTGCCGCTCTGCGGTATCATGATCTTCTCTGGTATCTTGAGTGTCTCCACTCTATTTCTGTATGCATGTCTTCCTCTTGCATTTTCAATGTTAATTATTTATCCAGGATGTTTACATGACCATCTTCTCTTTCAAAACTATCCTCTTACATGAGGGTGTGTCTAATCTAACTTGAATTGCCATCTCTGCTTTGCAGATTTCTTGTCTTCTTATTTCCAAGAGACTTGTGCTGACTTATTCTTGGATGCTGGATCTACACCTCAGATTTTATAATCTGTCTGTCCATATTATTTTTCCTCAAATAAAAAACCCATTTTGAACAAAGTTCCACAATAATCATTAACTAGTTCTTTTGTCAAATGACTTGTAGTTCCTCAGCCTAGTTCATTCCACAGATTCCTATCATACAAAGCACACCAGAGTATAGTTCTTTATTCAAAAAACCCACCAACTGAAGATTACAGGCCTTTTATAGTCTGTCTGATCTGTCTTATGACTTATTTTTTAATCTGAACTCTATTCTCCTTCACCTTACCTGGTACTTTCTAAAACCATACTTATCTAAAACTTGTTTAAACAAGTTTTAAACCCTTTTGTATCCTCAAGTAGCTAGTATAGTGCTGCACACCAGAAAAACAGAGGAAAAAGAACTCCAGATCAGCCATAACACAAGATGGGAGTAGAGAGGGAGCTAAAGAGTGGATCCATAGAGCCTTCAGAATACAAAAAAGGTATAACCACTAGGAAGCATTTTAGGTTTCATGCTGCAGGTCTGTTTTCTCTTATACTACTCTGTCTCAAGGCAACTAGAAAACATGACTTTTCGATGGGCATTGCCCCATACCCTAGAGCGTGTTTTGGAAATATCTGGGGGTGGTTTCTGGTTAACGGAATGATTGGGAAATGCTGTGTAGGCAAGGCTGGGGATGCTTGATGTTTTGAAACAAAAGGGACAGTCCCACATAATAAAAAATTGTTCATTGGGCACAACCTTGAAATGTCCTGCACATCTCTTTTGCAGTAATGCAAAAACCTAGCTTATATCATCAAGCCTAGAGCTTAACTTTGTTTTAAATATATAAAGAATTTTTTTGCATAGTTTTGCTATACTGTTTTATGAAAATGTAAACATTTCATAGATAGATTATACTTTGTTTTACTTGGAACTTTACTATGAGCTGCTCATCATTTGGGAAAAAAATCATGTCACAGAAAGCAATACTCTTCATAAATATCAAATCATTAATATAACATGCCTTTACCAGTTTCATTTGTAGCTTTTTCTCTATTTCTATATTAATATCTCCTCTCTCAAAAAACACATTTTCCATGCCAATGGTAAAGCATGCTACAGTGAAAACAACACTGAACTCACAGCAATAAACTCAGTTTGTCACTTAGCCTCAATTTGCTCATGTATAAAATGAATATATGCTCTACTTACCTTAGAGGTTATGAAAAACAAATGCTAAAATGAATATGAAGTATCTCAGAAAATATCAAGTTCTATGTGTACTTTACAATGAAACAAATCATAGTATTTGATTAAAAATTAAATTAAGAAAAAAAAATCCTAAAAGCCTCTGCCTCCAGTCTACTTACCAGATAACAGTGTAGTAATTTAACAGCATAAAGGATTAGTAATATTTAAGCACTTAATAAAATCAAACCCTAAACTTGTGCTGCCTAACACAGTAGCTGTGCATCTGCTAAACTGTAAAATTCACACTAGATTTAAAGAACTTACTACAAAAAATAAAATATTATTAAGAATTATTTCATCTTCTTACAAGTGTGGCCAGTAGAAAATTTAAAGTAACATTTTTTGCTTATACTACATTTCTGATAGGCATGCTGCTCTAATGAAGCAATGCAATTACAAAACTCATAAACAACAACAATATTGAGCTTAGGCTAACAAAACAATAAAAAATGTACACTCACTTCATCAGTGAGTTCTCCAAACACTGTTATAACATCTATTAAAAGACTTGCAGTATAGAAGGACTTGATCATGTTTCTAAAAGAGAAGAGAAAGCTGGTTTAGTTAAATGAAAAACATTAGGCTGCAGAATTAGTCATGTAACTATAAGAAAAAAAAATTCCAGTGTTTACAAAAGTACTCTGAAATTAATGTTTTAAATAAAATCAGATTTTTTTTTTAAAGATTTTATTTATTTATTTGAGAGAGAGAATGAGAGATAGAGAGCATGAGAGGGAAGAGGGTCAGAGGGAGAAGCAGACTCCCTGCTGAGCAGGGAGCCCGATGTGGGACTCGATTCCGGGACTCCAGGATCATGACCTAAGCCGAAGGCAGTCGCTTAACCAACTGAGCCACCCAGGCGCCCTAAATAAAATCAGATTTGAAGAACACAATGAAACTCCTTCTGTAATCTGTTATGAGACAGTAACAACATTTATATTACAAATAAATATACTACAGCAAGGTTTTATAGTATACTTTTTATTAAAAAATGCAATTATAGGGGTGGCTGGGTGGCTCAGTTGATTAAGTGTCTGACTCTTGATTTTGGCTCAGGTCATGATCTCAGGGTTGTGAGACTGAGCCCTGCTCTGGGCACGGAGTCTGCTTAAGATTCTCTCTCTCTCCCTCTCCCTCTGCCCCCCAACCCCCACCGACACATGCACATACTCTGAGAAAAAAAAAAAAGCAATTACAGTATTATCTGAATCCGTATCAACCCATGTGCATTTCTTTGCCTTTAAGTAATAACAAATCATTTGAATTAGCAGGTTGTGATAATTTAAAAAATCAGTATCATTGCACCAGGCTGTCACTGGCTAAAATCAACTCTTAGATTTTACCAAATGTTAAAGAATTGCTACTTGAGGTGTAATTACTGAAAAAATAAATCTGCCCTAGCTATTCTTCTGTCAGCCTAAAAAGACAGGCTTATTCTTGTACCCAAAATCATTCTGACATTCTACAATTAAAAAAAAAAATCTAAATCATTAATCAAGAAGTCTGAAAGTGTCCAATGGCAAACTGGGTAATTCCAGTTACACAGTAATGAAACGTACAATTTTAATTTTCCTCTTGCTTTACTTACTTGTGAAATCGTCCAGCACGGTCTTCATTATCTGCATACAAAAACATTTTCAAAGCATAATTCTCCAAATGGGCAGAACCAACTATTTCTTGAGTAATAGCTTCATTATCACACAAGTGTTTCTTAAGCTAAAATTAAATCAGATACAAAGCTTAAGATTTTGGACTCACAGAAATGTATGCTTAAGTACAAATAATCCTAAGAATGATTTTAAACTTTAAAAATTATTTTATATTCATTTCAGTAAAAGAGGTATGAATGAAATCTCACACAAACTGCTCTGCCTCAGCCCAAGGCTTTTTAGAATAAAATCCAATGTTTACAAAATTATGAAGAAACACACTCATGATAACCTGAAAGGATAATTTAACTCTAAAAATCAAAATAACCAAGAATAAAAAGATAACACATCCAACAATCTATGTAAAGCATCAGACAAATATTTCAAAGTAATAGCCAATATACAATCAGGTATCCTAAAAATGGAATCAGGAAATTCTCTAATCATAATTTAAAATTTTATTTTATTCTCATTTCAATTTCTTCTATCAAATATAAAAAATATGATTATACAAATCATTATATCCTAAAAGAGTATCGCCCAGAGCATACTGTGTAAAAAAAGATATAATTCTACAGTATGAGATCACAAACTCAGAAAAGGATTAGCAAGTTTTTAAAATTTAGACAAATATAACCTCGTTAACACAATTCACAACTGTAAATTTTCAGTCAGTATATCCTTTTCCAACACATATAATAATTTAAAATATTTTAAACACGACAAACTAAGTTCCTACATCTTACTCAGACTGTTGTACTGAAAGGGCTTTCTGGAATATCAGATCAGAGTACCACACTACTACTTAAAAATGGCGTTTCTCAAAAATGTTATAAAGTAAAAAATTAAATTTAAAAAAAGCTTCAGGATTCTTCACAAAATCAGCAAAATAAACATTCTCATAATTACAACAGAATAATATAAGTTCCAGAAGAGATTTAATGTTGGAATTTAAGGATGTTTTAGCTGTACTTATCCTGAACAAAACCAGGAAAAAACCCCTAGTTTACTATTTCCACACTATGAAATGCTTTAATTCTAGATTTAATTCTAGAAGTGGATTTAATTCTAGAAAAAAGTGGAAATATGTCACTTCATTTCATCTTCAACATGAAATATCTGGCAGCAAAAACATAATACACTCAGTTTTCCAACTGTAATCTAAATATTACAGCACAGGCAGATATAGGATAGACTCACCATGGAATAGATTTATTTTACCTGTTATTTAATTTAGATAATAATAAACTCCTGCTGAGTCCCTTTACAAATGTGATTTTATACTTTGCTTTTTATAAAGAACTACTCTGAGTTCTGTCTTATCCATAAGGTATTTTAGTTATTACTGCTATATTGTGAAATTCATAGATATATTCTATACAAAGTCTGTTAGCAATATGATTTTATAAATGTATTGCTATGTGTGAGACACATTCCTTCTCTTACCCCCTAACCTCACCTTCCAAAAAAAGAATACTCAAATACTTCCTGTACCTACAGAAACCATGTTAGAAGTGGAAGGACAGACAGGCTTCAAGGGCAGCTGGATTCCTATCAGTGGTGCCACTAGGTCCAATGGGTGGTTAATAGCAGCAGTGACAGGGACTCTGGGTCAGAAGGCCAGATACCCGTAACAACTTAGAGCCCTACTGCCCATGGCTGTTTAATGTAACTAGGTTTTGATCGGAGTAACTTTCAACATTTATAAAACCTCTGGGCTGACTATTACAAATGTTTTGATTTTTAATATATCTAAAATTCTGTCTCTCTACACAAAATAATGCAACTAGTCAAATATTTAGGTTTCTAATTCTCTTGAGTAGGTCACATAACTAATTAAACAAAAAGCTGCAGCTATTAATATAACAGCCTCTGAAGAAATAAATTAATGAGGAGTAGACCCTGACATTGTTAAAAGAAAAACCAGGACAGCTGGGCAGGGGAGGACAGGGTAGAGTCCTGATTATTAAGTTGTATTACTATGGCTACCCGTGCCTTCCTGCACTAACACCCAATCCAGCCCATTCAATTTTCTCTGGATTGCTGCCTCTATATAACCTGTGAAATTATATCATGGTTCAAGAAGGTGACTCATATATTAATCACTTACGACATTTCTGCTAGCAGGGAAGAATGCCTAGACCATAAAATTATCTTGTCCTGGTACCAAGAGTGAGACAAAGAGACTATAGGCAACTGATACCATTTCCTTCGCTGTCCCTTTCACTAAATAAGTAGCCCATTTCATTATTGTAAGAGCTATTTAAGAATTCCCAAATCAGTCATCCGTGTGACTGTATGAAGTAGATTAGAAAGGGTTTGTCACTTATGAAAGAATGACTCAAAGGTCATCTATAATAACATCTACAATAATAAGATATAGTGGTATATGCAAAGACACTGATACCTACTTTAACTTATGCTTACAACTCCCTTAGCAGTAAGATGTAAATGAAAAAATTGTGTCGGGGCACCTGGGTGGCTCAGTCAGTTGAGCATCTGCCTTTGGCTCAGGTCACGATCCCAGGGTCCTGGCACATAGCCCCACGTCGGGCTCCCTGCTCAGAAGGGAGCCTGCTTCTCCCTCTCTCTCTGCCTGCTACTCCCCCTGCTTGTGCTCTCTCTCTCTGTGCCAAATAAAGGAATAAAATATTAAAAAAAAAATGGTGTCTAGTTTTTCCTCAGCTGTAATGACATTGCTTGATGGCTGCCAAGAGGAAGAACTAAAATGGCAAAATACACATACACAAATATAATAAAGTGCCACTTAAAACATTAATCAGAAAATAAATGATCAGTGTTTAACTTACAGCTTCTAACTGATCCATTAGCTTTGATAAAAATTTACGACAGTCAGGAGTTTTACTATCAATCTTCATTCCAGTTTGCATTGCATATAAACGACCTAAAAAAAAAAAATGAGATGACTTGAACAATTTCCATTACTGAATGTTTAAAATACATGTTCTAATAAATTATTTAAGTGAATTTAAAAATAAAACTTTGATTTACTATGGATCTTATTTACAAAAATAAAGAACACACAAATATTATCCAAAGAATGAAACAGACTCATGATAATAGCAATTTTTTTTTTTAATCAAGAAGTAAGGCCTTCTTTTTTGGCAGAAAGAAAAAAAGAGAAAAGACCAGAACCTAAACTGTCAAAAAGACCTGTAACTGGCAAGTTAAGGCAATCAGAAAAACGACATGTACAAGAGCACTTACCAGTGCCTGAAAGTGATACTGATAAAATATGTAATATGAGCTAGAAGACTGGGAAACATACTCGAGCTGAGGCTAACAGGGAGAACTATTTTAGTTATTTTTATATATACTATATATATATATACCCTTTTAAAAAAATTAATAAAAACATTGAGAGAAGGCTAAACCTAAAAAAACCTCTGTGACACCATGATCCTAATAGCTCTTCCGGTGACAGGAGCTGTGAAAGGTCGGGTGGTAATTGTTACCATTGATGTGTACATACCACCTGTAATTTACTCTTACATTCTCCAAATATGTCCTGGAAATCTGCGACAGCGCTATGGACACATCATTCTAATGAAAGCACGTTTAGGTAGTTCCCAGGTGTTCATTACTACAAATCTTGTTGTGTTACCATACCTTCTTGTGCATGCATTCAAGAGTTCCCAGAGGCAAATACCAAGAAATGGAATACCCGGGTCATATTATGTGTATCTTTTTCACTTTTGAGAGCTACTCTTAAACTGTCCTCCAAAACAGATTACCAATATGCAGTTATATATCCAACATATGCAAGCACCATTTCTCCAAACCCACAAAACAAAGAAACAAAAAAACTGGTATTATTAAACTTATCAGTGTCAAGATTTTACGTGATATTTCATTTTCACTACTAAAAATGTACTGTATATTTACTGGATAGCTCTACATCCACCATAATGAATTAGGAGTAGCTATGAAAATAAAAGAAAAAATCTGCCAAATTTTTTTTTAAATATTTTATTTATTTGAAAGAGAGAGACACAGCGAGAGAGGGAACACAAACAGGGGGAGTGGGTGAGGGAGAAGCAGGCTTCCCACCGAGCAGAGAGCCCAATGTGGGGCTCGATCCCACATGACCTGAGCCGAAGGTAGATGCTTAACGACTGAGCCATCCAGGTGCCCCATCTGCCAAATTTTCTATTGGGTTGTTTGCTTTTCAACAAATTGCCTTGTGGTAGTTTACTTTACACAGTATAAAGGAAGGATATAATGTTTTTCCCCTCAAATGAAATCTTGTGAACACTATCCCCCTTCTCTGCTTTACTTTTCTCTCAGCAAGTAATCATCTTCTACTTATTTATCCACCATCTCTACTCCAACTCGAATTTAAACTCTGTGATGATGGCGATTTTAGTCTATTTGGTTTGCTGATGTACCCTTGGCATGTAGGATAGTGCTTGGCCTTCGATAAACATTCTCTGAATAGATAAATACATGGATGAAAGAATAGCTCATTCTGCCCCACTGATTTAAATGCCACTTTTATCATTCATTATCATATATTAAGCTTCCATGGGATAAAAGGGTCCAATTCTGTATATTGTCTATCCTGCTTCATTAGTCTACTGGCCTATCACTGCTTTATTTACTAGAGCTTTATAACATAGCTTGGTATCTGCTAGTTACTCTCAAGATTTCCAATTCAAATATGCCTACTCGATGGTATCTTCTTTAAAAATGTATTAAGATACACATGATACACAGTTATTTATTGTGTTTTTAATTTTAAAAGCTTTATCTGAAGACACTACTTTTTAATACTTAGGCTTTTAGGACTATCTCATATTACAGAGTTTGATGTTTAATTTATTAATGTATTTATTTTCACATATCAAATTTCAGGGTTTGAGCCATCTAGTCATTAACAAGAGAAAAAAAATGGGAGTTCCAAAAGTACTGTACAGATTTACATTGCCAAACAGTATAAAAAGCACAGTGCTTCTGTTTTCTCTGCATACCAGCCAACACAGGGTATCACTTTGACCCAAAACCAGATTCTAATTTGAAAAGCAAAAAAACCCACTCATTTTAAATGTCTCCTGCTTTGATAACAAATGTGACCAAATTTTCTTTTTCTTTCTTTTTTTTTTTTTTAACCAGTCATATTTTTTTAGCAACATGGCTAGGTCCTTTACCCATCTGTCTATAAGGTTTTAATCATCTCTCCCCACCTCCCCATCCCCCCACACCTCTTAAAGCATGGTTGAACACCCTCTCCTTTCAGACCAGTCCCATCTCTTTTGAGCTGTTCAAGATCTGTGCCTGTCTTAGGTCCTTTTCTTCTTAGAACTGTGACTGAACTCCCCAACACTTCCTCTTTGTGAGCTGTTCAGGTTTCTTCTCCCAGTGTTTTTGTTGCATTTCTTCTTCTATAGTGCATCACATGAACTCTTTGGAAAACAAACATATTGGTTGCAAATATGCCATCTTTCAATTTCTGAATCTGTTTTAAAACACAGAGACTGGAAATATTTGTGTACTCAAAGCTATTATTTCCTCCCCCCCCTTCCCACCTGGTGTAAATTCTAAGCTTGGGAAAGTTCTTTTATCTCCAAGGGACCAGATACTCAGTTACGTGATTTTTCTAGTTTTTCCTATGGTTTTAAATTTTCAAATTTAACTCTTTAACTTGCATTTGCTCTCCTCCACAAGTTACTGGCACCTATCTCAAATACACTTAATAAATGATCCTTCCTTTCTCTAATGATTTTGTGGTTCCCTCTTTAATAAATTTTTACTTTCTTAAAAGACTATTTGAGAGAAAAAGAGGGAGTGCGCGCGTGTAAGTGTGGGAAAAAGCGGGGGTGGGGGTGGGGAGGGGGACAAGCAAACTATGCACTGAGCGTGGAACCCAAGGCGGGGCTCGATCCCAAGACCCTGAGATCATGACCTGAGCTGAAATCAAGAGTCTGATGCTTAACGATCTGAGCCACCAGTGCCCCTGCATATTTTTACTTTTTATGTTTCCTGGCTGTTTGATTTGCTGAGATCACAGATCAAATGCCATCTCTAGCACATGACAGTATCTCCACTGATAATATGCTTTATCTTCCTCCAGATCTAATCTTGCTATGTCTTACTGTATTACCAAAATTTTACCAAGAATTTTATGCATTCTTGATCTTATTTTTAAGAGGAAGGCTTCTGCTTGAGAGTAGGGATCAATTCCATGCCAGGTTACTCATATTTCCCCTATCAGAGTCCCTACCCTATGCTATATTGAAACTGTGGCCTTTGGGACCTACAGGATCCCAGGGACTGGCTAGAGTGTGGGAAAGAAAATCTTAGCATTTCTACTGATAATTTTTCATCATTCTTTAAAAATTTCTGTTTCTGTATCTTTAATAATACATGCAGTATTTTTAGAATATAGTATTTGTACATCAATATATAAATATGTATCTTACATAATATATTAGAGATTAATTTAACTCATATGGATAGGAGATCATAAGGTTAAGAATCATTACTCATTACACCCTTACTCCCCTCAACTATATTTTCTTACCCCAACCTAGTCCATACCTCTTCCACAGGGCCCCATTCTTTTACCATAATACATGGAATTACTGCTTTATAATCAGCAACCATCCCCTGTATCTCCCCAGATTCCTCTCCCTCTTTGTCTTAACTAAACCCTAGGTGTCACTTGAAGAAATTCTCTTACATAATTCTTCCTATGTCAGGATTGGCAAGTATGACTGTTTTTTTTTTTCATTGCATCCCACTGCTACTTACAGTATTCTCTCAATGTCTGACCTAAAACTCAAGCCCCTTTCTTCCACGTGATCTTATTAATGCCTGTAATTGACCAAGGACCTCCACCATCTTGAAAATTTGGCTATTCACATGGATAATCAATACTTGTGGCAGAGACTACTAACTGCCCGCCCACATTCTTTCTTCCTACCTTCTTTGCTAATGAGACCCCTACATTATTAAGGGGGGTTGTAATGTACTAGTCAAATAGTACATTTCCCCGTATTCTTCAAAGCCACATATGGCCATTCAACTAACACTGATGCTATGTTGTCAGAAGCTGTTGGGAGAGAATTCTGGAAGTAATCTTAAAGGGGAAATGACAGGAGGGGAAAGATCCTACTGACCCTTTCCCTCTTCTTCCTGCTGCCTAAAAGAGAAATGGTATGACTGAAACACTAGTAGACATCTTAGACCACAAGGCAACCTTGGAAATGGTAATCATGTGTTGGCTTGTAGATTTGAAATTGGAAAGTGTTTGGGTCCCTGATGACTTCATGGTATTGACACACGTTGGGTACTGACAACATCAGATTTTGAGGGAGTGAGTCCTTATCTAACTTAGCTATTTTTATTTTAGATTTTCAGCAATAAGAAAGCAAATCTAATCTTAATACACAGAACTATGTTCTCAATTCTTATTGACTCTAATAATTATATGCACTCTCCCATACAAGCCACTCACTCCATAATTAAATTACAATGTCAAACGGCTGTACTTCCAAAATCAATATATTATGCACCAACTTTAAACACAATTTCCATTTCTTCCAACTTGAAACTATGCCTGTTAAAACAGGTGGCCAGTTCACTGGTGTCTATTTCTTCATTACAGTCTTTTCTCCTTTAACTTCTCTCTGCAACCAGCTTTGATTTTGTATTTTTCTACAACTTTACTGCCCTAGCTCCTTCTACCCCTTAATTTTTTTACTATAGTCTTATGGCAAAAGGACACTCATATTTAAACCCAACTATCCTCTTTCTCTATGCCTATATATGAACAATAGAGACCACTGGCAGATGAGCACCATTATAAATATAATTATCAACCTCAAATGAGCTTAATACTTGCCTTCCCAACCTCCCAAATGACTATTTTAAACATATGTCAAT